TCTCCTACGGGATAGATCATAGCCTCCTCTATCTCGTCTCCAGCTCGACGCTCGCCCTCCCGCGGCGGAAACGGGAAGCGCTCTAGTGAGGGTCCCCCGATTCTCCTGCTCAGCGGGCATGGCGGAACTGCTCGCGATCACGGCTCGCGAAATGTCGTTTCCGAATGCAAACAACACTCTTCACTGTCCCAACGTAGTGCTGCAGCCGGTATGGGATTGTACCTTACTAAAGAGTTTTAGTATTGCGGATATAGAAGCAAACGCAAGCGGTGTGTGTTTGCGTTAGAGTTGTGTGCCCCACGTTGTGCGTGCGCCTCATCGCCATGCGCCATCCAAGACCGCAATTTCGGGCTTCGCGCACGCGTAGTGTGGAACGCGCAAAGCCAACGCAAACACACAGGGCTTGAGTTCGCTCGTATGCGCAATATTAAAACTCACTACTCTTTCACCGGCTTCCAACGCCAACGAAACGTGCTGCAGTGAGCATACGGTGCAAGCAGGTAGGCATTCCTTCGAACTGGAAAGATTGGCAACACGACGGCGAGCAAATACAAAAGTAAACGAATGTTATGAAAAAACTAGTGATTAAAAAAAGGCTTTTTCTAACTTTTCGGCATTTGGTCTGGAAGTATATTGGCGGCGACTTTGGACGTTTCGCCGATTGTCAAAAGTCGCGACTTTGATAGCACAACATACTTTACCCACAATTAATGTAATTTTACATGGATTTCTCACATTAGCTAGAATGTTTTCATTAATTTTAGACTATTTTTGTTTTATTTATAATTAAAATGCAGCATTTGGAACCAGTGATGAAAATTAGCACAGTTTTCATTGTCATATTTCTTCGCGCGTTTAAAATTAGATCATAAGCAACAAATTATATTAGAGCTTGAATAATTACTTATTCAAATATGGGAATTTTAATATTATTATTATAAAACAAATCGCGGCAATGTATGCCTCTAATTAACGCCAAGATCACGAGAATACTCTATTTAACCATAATAGTCTTTCCAGAAAGGTATAATTCTGTTTTCTTTTTAGCATATGAAAAACTCTGCCATAGTTATCAAGATGGATGTAATATGAAGACCTACGCGGCACGCGGTGCTATAAACACACGCACACACTTCAGCTGTCTGACTCGGATTTCGTCTTGGGCTGTTGCAGTGAGAGCAGCGTTTATTAGTTTATGCGTTTCGTGGACATATTGTAAAAATTGGAATTATTCTCTTATTCTTGTGCCGGGATAATTGTCATTTTTCCCATGATAATTATCTGAGCGAGAAAAAGGCAGCGAGAACGCACAGATATCAGCACTGATTTTTTCAACAACGACGAATATGAGCCTGGATTGAACAGCATGTCACAAAATAAAGTTTCCGCGAACAACTTTTCTAAGTAAATAATTACGATGTGAGACACATCTTGAGTCATGAAAGAATCCAAAATTAAGACATCTGTCGAGAAATTAAATCCAAAAGAGAGGTAAGTTTCGGTTTTGCTCTAGAATTAAAACGCGTATCCTTCCGTAATTAATACGCTAAACACCGTTCTTGTTTTCAGGTTAAAGAGGTGACCTACGCTCATAAAACATTAGCTTCCTCGTATCACCAGAAATAATTTATGTCGCTCAGTGAAGCCAGCACACTAGACAGGCTCAACAGCGGCACGCATCTCTGACCCTCACTAAACCGGCCATCTTGGAAAATGAGTGGCGCCACCTATAGTTAGTTGGAGCCGCGAATACTCGCAAAGCCTGGCAGTTCGATGACGGAGCCATAGAGTGCCCGGTCGCAGATCTGGTAGCACAGAACATTTCTCGGGAAGGCTCGGGAATCAGCGCACAGCTTTTGCAGTGGCGAGGACCCGAAACATGGTTTTAAACCCGCGGCGAAAAAAGAAGCGGTAGCCCGAGGAACGCGAGAAGCACGAGCGGACATTCCATCGCTCGGGACAAGCGGTTTTGGCGTCTCCCCGCAGCGGGGCGCTCGTTACATGACTCTTTTCTGCCGATCTCCCCTTCCACTTTTGGCGGCCGCGTCACGTGATGATCTGCCAGGCTTTGTCAGTATGGAGGAAGCTATGGATAGACAGAATCGATGCGTTCTTTTCCCTTGATACACTCTCCTTTCCCCTCTGCATGCGCTTCCGAGTATCGGCAATAAACGTCTTTGGACAGCGGCGTTCTCTTAAAGCATAACTACTTTTGTTAGTATGTCAGTGTTTACTGAAGATGCCAACTGCATGGGTGGCGAAACGTCTAAACATTTTAGTTACCATTTTTGTTGTGTAAAGCCAGAGTAAACGTATTTAATCATCAATCCACCTGGCTTTTGGAACATTTTTACGTGGACTAGTAGTTACTAGACTTAACCGGCGTCAGTATACACCAATCTAGACTGATAGTTGATCTACTAGATGGCACTGAATTTGTGAAAGTACCTATTTCACATTAACTGAAGAGAGGTTGGTAGCATTGACTGGCAACAGAAAGAGTAAAACAAGTGTCGTCCCCTGTCCCGAGTTTGTTTTATTATTTCCGTCGTGTATTGCACTATAATGCTATTTTGATTGTGCCTGCACGTACTGCATGCAGTTACAGCACTAGAGCAAATAACTTCCGTTCGCGTGGCCTAATGGAAAAGCCGTCTGACTTCGGATCAGAAGACTGCAAGTTTGAGTCCTGTCGCGAACGTGAAACTGTTTACTTTTGCGGTTTAAGTGTCTCAGGGTCGTCATCTACCTGGACAAATTGTTCGGTGTTATCAAATCCTTCGCCCACTAAAAGCAAACAAACAGCAAGAGCTCTTTTTTGTCAAAGTTAATTTTAGCTTGCCGGCAAATCGCATGCAACTCAAATTTTATTAACGTATATGTCACCCAAGCATAGTTACCGACGTGCATACATTGCCATTAAAGGTGCCCCTCAGATATTTAGGAGACTGAACGAGCTCTTCGACGTGTTAAAATATCTGCTTGCTTGCTTGGCACAGGTTGTGCCGAGTAAGCAGAAACGTCGTGCAGGGTAGCTACGCTTCCCTGTACAGATTAACCATGTTGAATTAACTTGAGATTGGGGTAGAAAGGAAACATCAAAACGTCAAAGGGACAAACAACAGAGTGGACGATGTCTCAAGCTGAGCTAACTCGTTTATATAGTCCTGTATATTTTCTGTCCCTCGTACGATTTTATGTTTTCTTTCTACCCCAGTCTCGGGTAAATTTAACATGGTTCATATTCACCAGATCGACTGCACTTTATTATATTTTCTCTGCTCACATTGTTTTCGAGCCAAACACCACTTCATACTTATCTTTCGATGAATGCACTACTTAGGTTGCTACGATGGTGTGCTCTGTGGTTTAAGATTTCATCTTAAGCACATTGAAACTGGAGCTAAAGTTAAATGTGATGGATAAGGTAAACAGATCCGTCATATACTCAGTATGTGATATGTTGTAAATTACTCGAGCAGGTTTTATTTTCTCAAATCATTAAGCATCCCAGCTTACATGATTTTTTTCTTTGAGTCCCAACATGATTTTAGAAATTTGAATAAGCTGTATTGTGGTCTACTTACTAGTGTTGATGGAGGTTAGCAGATTGACTGTGCATTCTGAGAATTTAGGAAATCGTTTGACACTGCATCATATTCAGTTATTACACAAGTTAGAATTTTAGACATAACCATTCCTATCTTCGAGTGGATAAGGGTGTATCAATTTTTAACGTCGTCAATGTGTTGTCCTAAACAAAGCAACATTTAATTTTGTTTCCGTTACCTCTGGCGACCCGGGGGGTCTCGTGTTGGTGCTTGTGTTATTTCTTCATATTTGTCAATGATATTAATGACGGAATGAGTTCCAAGGTACGATTGCTTGCCGATGATTGTCACTTACGGATATCTAACAGAATAGGAGAACAGTTGCAGAATTACTTGGTTAGAGTTTCTCGATTGTACAGTAAGTGGAAGATGAAGCTCAACGTAAAGAAATGTGTCCATGTTAGTTTGACCCGAGAAAAAAAAATTGAAACTCCATATCAATTGAACAACGAAAATGTATCAAACGAAGAAACATGAAAATATCTAGATATTATAGAAAATATCTTCAGCTGATTGCAAGTAGAACGCACCTATCAGCGACGTTATTATAAATTTCTGCGCTGAAACTTAAAAAAAAAAGTCTATAAAAGAGCTTGCACATGTTGCCTAAACACCTAAGGTTACTCTTGTACCCAGCCACTTGGTAAGTATATCTGCCATGGGAGACGAAAAAATAAAACTTTGCAACCTCGAAATAGTAAAAAAATTGAGGGGTGGCAAAACGAAAATGAGTGACGGCGACGCTATATCGTAAATGTATCCTATTTATGTGACGACGAAAAAATACCATTGGCAAAGCGAAAAAAATATAATCAAGATTTAACGTATTATTTAGTGTCGATTATATAACCACTCGCAGAAATAAATGTTCACATCTTTTACCTCCAAATTATATTTCACAGGCACATCCACGAAATACGTAAGCTCGTGTCAGGACGGAATCGGGTAAGTTACTTCTGTTAGGAACTTTGCCTAGTGCCCGCAAATGCGGAAACGTTACTTGTTTTCCTGTGAAGCTCTGCCTTCAGCGCGAGCTCTCTGGCTTCCGCAGTGCTTTTGTTGCGTGTGCCTGCCCGTTCACACTTGTGCTAGCAAAGGCAGAAACCTGTCGCTGAAGGGGGAGCGTCTAGTCTCAGCTTAAGGGTGAACGGAGTAGAATGCCTGACGGGGGCGCTGCGGGATGATATTGAATAAAGAATAAAAAGCAGAATGAGCACCGATGATCTGTCATAGTAGGAACGTGTGTGCAGTGTAATGAAAAATGGACACAGTGAAATATATGTCATCCGCGTTTATTCTTTGCAAGACGGCAAGAATAAAAACTTCACCCAGACTGGTGAAGAGCAGAAAAGAAGAAGGCAACCGCCGTCCATATTTGCGGCAGTGGAGATGCATCTAGACACGTGGTAGTGGGTTGACCGCGTAGCCATAGGACCGGCGGCGCAGCGACTTGCGGATGAGGGCCGGCACTCGGTCGCGCAAGGAGGCGAAGCGGCAACGGCTGCGACGTCCCAGCATGGGGCTCGCGAGCTGGAAAGGAATAGGCTTTGTGTTAGCACCTGCTGCGAGGACACGCGTGAAGACGCGTCACAGAACGACCGCAAGAAGCAATGAAGGAAGTGCTGAAAACCTGAACATTTTTACCTCCCACACTAACATAGATGAGAGCAACAGAGCAAGTGAACATACAATGCAGCAAGCCCTTTCCCTGACCCCCCAGCCTCTCACCATAGAATTACCGTTGATTTATTCTAACATGCGCCATGAATAGTGACGCTGACCAATGATTCAGTTCTACCAATAATATACGATCGAATAGCGAAATCCCAAACTCTACAAGCTAGGGCAACTTGAGGAGAGTCCTTGAACAGGACACATACCTTCCACGTTGGCATGTGGCCTCGAGTAAAGAACCGCTGGTTGCGCGGTGTCCTCTTGGCCTTGGTGGCCCGGAAGAAAGACGCCAACCTCTGTCCGATTCCTCTTTTGGACGCCGCGGGTGATGGAGGCGAAAAAGGACTCGGCTCCGAGGGGGAGAACCTTAAGTGCCTCCCGGAGGTTCGTGGCCGGTGTCCATGTGACGCCTCGCCTGGAGGCCTCTTAGGTGCGGCCTCGGGGGACGTCGTTCTAGGAGAAGGCACCGGTCCTTGTGGCGGCACGCCTGGAGACGGGCGGCTTGGCGACAGTGACGCGCAGCACGTCTCAGGCGACAGTGGAGGAATGGTGGACGGCATGTCCCAGAAGCTGCCGAACATGTCCCGATACTTGGTTGCAATACGAGACTGCGACTTGGACCGCTCCGCCTGGAAGATTGAAGGTGTAATTAGATTCTTGGGAAGCACAGGAATTATGAGTGGCTGACGGGCAACTGCATGCTCGTAAACAAGAATGTAAGGAAAGCTAATCCAGCGAAGATTCAATGGCGAATCTTAGTTCTGGAAAAGACAAACAGCACGACAATAAGCACAGTAGATGTTTTTGTACATACCGTTCCCAGTTCGAGCTTCGTTTCCAGTCCTCTCGTGAACTTGTGGCTGGATTCGTTCTCACGTTCTTGGTAGCGTCGTCTTGATCGATCGAGTGAGAACTCGTACAAGCCTGCCATGCTTTCCTCTGAATCGAACACAAAATTAACAAGTAAATACGCATTCGATCGCGCATTTGAGCTCGAGGTGTGAAATCAAGGCATTACTTTTAAATAAGAGGACGCGAGGCACATGTTAAAAAAAAAAAAGAAAAGGAGCACATGAGCCTAACAAAAATAGAAAAGAAATAAAAGAACAAGAAGTCCACTGAATGATGGAAGTAAGAGAAAAAATACAGGCGAGTGGGTGAACTTTTAAGATTGTGAAAACCTGAGACAAAAAAAAAGGGAGACAACACCCACACACGCAAAAGACATGCACGGGAAGTGCAGAACAAAAACTGCACGCTAGTAGCTTACCCTTCAAAAGTCCTCGAATCTTGTCCCTCGTGGTATGGCCTTCATTGCAACGGTTGACTGGGCTCTGGTTCTCCATGCAGTCGTTCACAGCAGCACCTTGCACTGCCTGGTTATGTGAGAAAATACCTACATTCTGGTCCTTTTATAGCTGCCTCAACCCACTGTCCTTGACTTTTCGAAGCCTGCTGAGAGAAGCTTGCACACCTTTGAGTTTTCCCTCACCTTCTGACCTCAAACGAAAAAGGGCAAGAGGTACCCTACGTTGTCCCCGATTGCAGACTGTAGTGGGGGAGAGGGAGAGAGTGTAGCTTTGTTATATAGAAGGGAATCTGGGTTTTACAATAGGGTACAGAAAGTGGAATAGGGGGTGAGGGACGGTTAAGGTCACCGTCGCAGTCAAAACGCGCCTATCTACGAACTAAAACAAAACAAAAAAAATCTTTGTTGCTTTTTGGTCAATACGATGAAACGAAAGTGGACGGAGCTTCCGGTTTCGTTTGAGGGCTGCGTTCTTCATTTCCCTTTCTTATTATAGAATATGATAGATTTAAAAGCTTCCAATGGACAAACTTCGTTTTTTGCACTCGTGGTGTTTTTTTTGTTTTTTTTTTGCTATTGTGTAAGTTAAGTGGATCTAGCCCCATGAAATAAATAACAAAAATCGTTGTACATGAAGGGTAATAAACAGCTCGAAAACGCGGGCAGCGAAAAATGGGTGGCATTTAAAACGCCGAAAATCATAATACCGAATTATCGGAATGCCGAAATTTAAAACACCGAAAATTCGAAGAGCCGAAAATACAAAAAAATCGAAAATTCAAAAAGCCGAAAAGTCAAAACATTGAAACATCAAAATGACGGCATCACCTAGTTTTAGTAGAAGATAAAGTTTCTTGGCAATGTGATCAAAGTTAGGGGAGAGGTTTCGCCGGCCAATGTGCACGCGCTTTCGCCCTCTTTTTTAATAGCCATGAAATGCTGCCCCCGAGTATAGCTTCCCTTCGCATGGTTTCAAGCCTTCGAAAAACTAAAAATACATTTATGCATATCTCGTCGCATAGCAGAGCGATTCCTTGTTGATTGCATTTCAGACATATAAGTTGCGTGCAGTCTTCAAAGAAAGCTTAGAACGTCGACATTGTCCCGGTTGCCCAGAGCAGCTGCCAAACTATTTTCGCGGCAGCTTTTGCTTCTTGCTTTGTGAGCGGCGGGGTTGGCCTCTGATCGCTCCCCCGATATCGTCTTCGACTCTAACTTGCTCCCTTTTCATGGTGATGATGAGCCGGAAGACGCTTGCGTGGTGTCCGTCAGCCACTATCTCCCATCGTCGGAGCCATGCCTCAACGGCGTTGTTGCCCTTTGGAAATCCATTCTAAGCGAGGGCAAGCACATTTCAATGGGATGGCGGGAATACCGGAGGACTTCGTATAATCACGGCAGTGTTACCTTCGGCAACACGGCGGCGTGATATCCCGAGCAGGTAATTATCCTCCCACCATCGCAGCAGGTCACAGGTTTCTTGCGGGAAGTTTCAAGGACGCATAGGCATATTGTCCTTCTTCGGTGGGCAAGAACGAAAGGGCTGCAAGCTGCCTCATCTTCATGGCGAAGCCACCTGCATAATTTTTGTAGGGCACTGCCAGTCCTAGGTGCTGCACTCGCCTCCATACTGATTGCCACAAGTGGAACAGACAACCGTGCACATTCGACGACGAGAGCAAGGACCAAATAGCGTTGATTGCTGCCAGTTCGAAGTCTGTACTCTCAGTTTTTGGATTTAGTGCCAGTCGGACATCTGCGGCGAAGTTCAGCATTTCTTCGAAGAGCGCCTTGTACGCCATCTGGGTTCGTCGAGTAATTCCCGGTCGCACGAGCACTTCCTCAGAAAGAGAAATGAAACGCGTTTTAAGTCGAAAAACAGGTTGCGGTTTGGTAGTCTTGGGCTACTGCTACATTACGTACAGTTGAACTGCTTTTGACTCGGATAGATTGACAGTAGCTCTAGTATTGTTTATTCCTTCTAGTATTGCTTAAGGGAGGGTATGCCCCCTCCTCATCTGTACCCTATCCTCCCGCTGTGCTCCTCCCCTCCTTTCCTCCTCCTCCTGTTCCCCTTTTGAGGTATATCTATTTTACTATAGTACTGCCGGTGCCACGACAGGACAGCAGGATCAAGGCGGGAGAACGAGACAGCGTTAAAGTCAACACTACTGACGAAGCACGTAATACTGTTGATGTCATCCTACTTGCTGTCGGCTTTGTCGAAAACTGCTCGGCGTTTTTGATTTCCTCAGCATTAGTCTTGAGCGTGCACCTCGAGATGGCACAGCAGAACAGCGAGTGCACGTCCCTCGGGGTCAGTGGGATGTTTTCCTGCATGACTGGTATAAAGTTATTCTTTGTCTTGCACGAAATATTCGGTGAGTGCCACACGCGAGAGATACTCAGCTACCACGAGCAAGCTGTTGTCGATCATGGCGGCACACAATTTACCAACTTCGTCTGACGTGCCTCAGAGATCGACGGGTACATCACAGACCTGTACCCATGTAGATGGCCACTTGGATAACGAAGTTACCATGTTTTCATGCTTGCCTCTTTGTGATTTATTTATTTATTTATTCATTCTGCCAGCCGTGAGGCCAAGGCAGGAGTGGTACATATTTTCAAAAACATACCAAGGACACACAAAGAATTCAATAATTCAGTCACATCCCTTGGTGACATGGGAAGAAAAAAACATTTCAATTTCCTTCACAAAAGTTGACACACTTTGAGAGTTGACTATACATTCAGGCAGCTTATTCCAGAAATCAATACATCGAACAAAAAAGGAGTGCTTAAAAATATCCGTAGAGTATTGATAGGATTGGATATTTAAGCTATGTTTTATTCTGTGATACACCGGAGGAGACATCACGACGTATTTTCGGGTATCCAACATCGAATGAATGGTAATATCACTTGCCTGCACAACGGGTAGCTAGCATCTCCTTTCCTCCCCCTCCTTGACCCGCGCGTTGCATTATGGGACGTTTTCCACAATGCACCCCGCGGTTACCCCGGCGCCGCTCAAGCTGAAAACGGGCGCCTAAGAGCTGCATGCGCTCTAAAATAAATAAAAGAAACTGAAACTTTGCTGTACTACATAAGCAGGGCATAAGTTTTTTTCTGAGCTTCCTTTTAAATGTTGACGTCGAAATGCCGAGCTCCGATTGGCTCAGAGTGAAGGATAGTGAGTAGACGTCGAAATTAAAATACGAACACAGTCTGGACACAACAGAAAAACAAATTCATTGTTTTTTCTTTTTCTGTCGTGTCAAGTCGGCGGTCTTATTTTATTTTGAGGAACAAGCTGCTTTGAGGTCTGCCCATTGTTTATCAATCAGAGCCAATCAGAGCGTTGCGTTCTGTCGTCACTGCAACCCCCTGTGCAAGAAGCAGACGAATTTACGCTTCGCATAAGTTATAAATAGGGTTCAGTGATCTCGTTTTCCTTTTCCTTTGAATTCGGGGGTATATGCTATAGACCGCCAAACACTATTTACAAAGAAATCGGCCTTTGTCCACTTGGGGTGTGATGCATCATGCACTGCACATACACAGAAACAAGATTTGTGCCAAGCCCCTGCGCCAACGCAGAAGCATGACCACTGGAGAAATATTGCTCGGAGTAGAACTCAGTGTGGTCAACTACTCCAAGTTAATCACCATCAGTTGTAGTGAATAGAGGCGCAGACATGCAATATGCTAAGCCAATCCTCCACTCCTACCTTGGTTATGTGTAGACCGATAGCACTTTAAATTAATATAACAAGCGAATAAATGCGAAGGTGATTTTATTTAAGCCACGATGTGACGTATGCACATTCGTCGAAAGACCTTATCGTCAAGGGCGAGAAACCGGGAATAAAATGGGAAATTGAAGTCCCTTTACGTAGTTTATTAACAGCGGAAATATGACTAGAAGGTCGACAAAAACGGCACAAAAAATCTTGGAGACAATCGCTTAACCGTTGTGAAGAGCGTCGTCTTTTCAGACGGCTGTTCACCGGGCACCTGGAGATCCTGTGGCCAGACGACGCTCCAGTCCATTTGTCCGCAAACCTTGACGTGCTGGGGCTGCGAAATCGGAACAGATTGGTAGCTAAACATGAAATAAAAAAAAAAAAAAAAAGATAACAGGCATGGTCAAACAAACCATCGAACTCATGAAAGACATAGCTAGAATGTAAAATACTACGATGTGCAGTGCTATACGTCGTTCCAGGCTAAGGAAGATAGCTTCTACCGCGAGGCCCTGCACTCTTTTCACTTCAATAAGTGAAAACGAGCGTGTTGGTGAATAGATACGAAGATATAAATGGATAAAACCTGGAGGACGGGGACGGAAACATAATTTGTTTCATGTTGGAGTTTAGACGACACGCGGCTCAAAAAACGTTGACAGTAATAGTTAAAAGCTATTTTTGTTTCATCCTTTCATGAATCCGTTTACACTATACCAGAGCGAACGTCGCGGAAAAGGCGATGCGAGGCAAGGGGGGCCTTGCCAACGCTCCGGCGTCCACTCTGCTAAAGCGAAATGTTAGAGGGCTATGCGCGAAGAGCTTGTCCTCTTTTTTTATGCAAGAGGGTTAACAAGCATTGTTGAAAAGGTA